TAATACATCCCATGGATCTGTTACTTCAACCAGTCATTGCCTTGCATTGCCAAACAATGTTCTATGTATGTGTCTTGTTTTGCCAACTATAATTGTGAGCCCCTTAACCTTATTAGAATTCCCTCCAGTTAGGTACATAATACAGACACTCTGTAAATATTTTTGAATTAGTTTTCATACATTGTTCTACCCTCAAGGATCTTAGAGTTTCACTGGGAAGGCAAGGGATACCCAGGTGAAACAGTTCAATAACAGAGCGAAGTGGCATTAATTCAGTGCCAAATGTGGAACCGTAGACCCAGGAGGTACAATGCTGAGGATGTCAGAGGAAAGTCACCAAGCCGGACCATTCTGAGAAGGCTCCCAATTGCCTGTAACAGTTGTTACTTGTTCTAAGAGAGTAAGTCAGTAGCCGCTTTCGGAGTTGGCCTGGTTTTACAAATTAATCTGGCTGTCAGAGTAGCATTACTGCAATTGTCATTTTGTCCTTTGCATGCTGATATCTCTGCTTCCCCAAAGGGATTTATTCTGCAAACAAGCCCAGCTCCTGGCCCCTAGAAATGTCACAGCGAAGTTCTCTTCTGTCCTCCTTTCCCACTCTCCAAAACCCTTTCATCATTCGTGTTTTTTTTAAACTTCTGTTTCTGTGAAAAGATTTATCTTTATGGTTCAGCTCTCTAAAAGAAAGAGCTGATAGCACGAGAGTGGGCATAGAGAGGACGCATATGCCTTCCTGCACTGCTTTCTGGGTGCTGCACTTGTGCTTTTAATCCTGCTGCTGTCAAGCTCCATTAGGAGATTGGAGCATCAGCCTCCTACCTTTGGGGCCTGGCCTTCCATCAGCCCTGACTGAAATGAGGATGGTGTTTGAGATGGGTAATCAAGCAGAAAGACAGGTTAGGTATCACAAAGAGCCCCACCCTAATCCACTATCCTGATGGCACAGTCACCTTACACATCACACAGGGTCATTTATCCTCCCAGGTGCAAACACTGACTGCCATTAGGGGAAGCCATCTGAATGCCATGTGTTGGCACCCATACAGTGATTTAAAACAGCAGAAGAAGAGGAAGGCTAAGAAATGATTTCTTCTTTCTCGAAACGTAGAACAGTGCAGAAGGAGAGGACCACCGACGCCCATCCCAGGAAGCAAAGTTATTCAGATCAATCCTGGTGATCACCGGTGACAGATGTTTCAGCCTGACATCTGGCCTCTGATGTGGCTTTAGTGAGAAGCAACACCTAGACTTTCACCTTAGAGGGCTGGCAGTAAGTTTCTTGGAACGAAAAGGCCCCTAAATGACACCCTCTTTCCCTGCATTTGATGTGAAGCAGAGACCAGTGCTACAGGAAGACTCAGAAGGAGGTGTTTGTGTCTCTAGCTGAAATAAACACCTCTGTTGTCATCAGCAGACAATATTAAGTGCTCAGCTATGCAAGTTATCGTGCTGGATCTAAAACCAGAATCTATATATTTTTTGTGAGCTCTTAAAGCTCCTTTCTTCAAGCTATTTTTTGTGTATAAAAAAGCACTCTTTTCTATATAAAAGATCTTTTTTCTTAAGGTTCTTTTTGCGAAAAAAGGCACCGATTTGCATTCAGCAAACCTTGAAAACTGCAAAAGTGACAACAATGAATAGATGGCACATAAAGCTCCAAATCAGTGTTGGTTGGGAAAACAACCGGAAAGGTTATGAGTGCCAAGTCTGTCTTGCTCCCACAGCTAATTGTTAGAGTATATGGTTTTTCTTTCAGGAAAGCGCAAGATTTACTTAGAGGTTTCTTTGCTGAGCCAGGTATTTACTTTGGAATTGTTATTTATTTTTTGTTTTATTTAATTTGGAATTAAAATGAATTTGCAAAAGAGAAAGTTATACATTAGCACCTGCAATTAGTTTTTGGTGATACAAACCTGACACATTTCTTGAAAAGGTTAATTGTGCTTTTTTTGCCAGGTGAAAGCAAAGATTTTTCTTATATTGTGTATATAGTCGGGGGACAAATATATTTTATACTGGAAGATTAAAACAAACTGAGACAGGATGACCTGGGAAGAGAGAAGATATATAAATTGATGAGGTAATATACCATGAAAAACCACAAATGTGAGTTTGGCTGTGGAGCAGCAGAGGAAGTGGAGTAGCTGTAAATGTCCGGATGCCACTGAAAAAAACCGTTTCTGATGCGAGAGCTTGAGAGAGCAAAACTGAATTAAGTACAAGGATTAGGGTTCTTCTCTAGATGGCGATGGTAACAGTAGTGAAAGCAACTGGGATGAAATTTCCACAGAAAATAGAGCAGTTTGCTCTACAAGGCATGAAATATGATCAACAAGTAAATTGTTGTGGTAGATTTTTAACTATAACTTCCAGTACAGGAAGAAAATATTACTTGTCATGCCCACTTTGAGCTAAATAAACAATGCTCAGCTCTGAAGCCACCCTAGCAAGACGAAGCATTGCCAAACTGCAGTATTTGGAATGGCCCCTCATGACTCCCTGTGTCTTCATGCAGTCTGTTTATTTCTAGAATACCATTTTTCTCCCGTGTACCCATTTACCTGTTCATACACTACATAGAGTCATATTTGTCAAGGGCAAATATGACATCATTGTGAAAAGCAAATATTACATCATTGTAGAGGGCACATATTACATCCTTGAAAGCAACGTGAGACCATGGTGCCAACAACCAAGTTCAACGTCTATTTAGATCTTTTTTTCATAATTTAGCCACTTACAGACTTGATCCCAATATGTAAAATGGGCCAATAATCCAGTTCTCATAAACCCACAGACAATCCCAACCATGTGAATTAACTGTCGAATACAGTAGTGTGTTGAGAAGCATAAATATGTGAAGTCTTGCCCATCTCCAGTAGCTAAAAACAGGCCAAAGGCCAACAAATTCTATTGCATTAAATCCTTCTTTCAGGTTTTACAGTAGTTGCAGGAATCACTTACAGAGGTTTCAAATCTGAGTAAGAAATTGCTCCTTACTCATTTGCTAAATTACCCCATAGCTGTTTTGTGGCTTTTTGTTCAAGAACAGAATCATCCTTAAATATCATCTGGTGACCCATGCCAAGATGGAAATTGGATGTGAACTTTGCTTTATATGGAAACATAGATGCTCTAATGCTCTTTGGTGCTGGGCAAAGCTTTATTCAGTGCGGGCACTGTTACTATGCCCCCACAGAACCACACATGTTTTTTGACCCTCAGTTTGCTGTACCAATTACTTTAACTCAACTCAATCATGACAAATTGAGTTGAGTTAAAGTAACTGTAGTGCAGTGGTGCAATCTCGGCTCACTGCAACCTCCGCCTCCTGGATTCAAGTGATTCTTCTGCCTCACCCTCCCGAATAGCTGGGACTACAGGTGCCCTCCACCATGCCAGGGTAATTTTTGTATTTTTAGAAGAGACGGGGTTTCAACCACATTGGCCAGGCTGGTCTCGAACTCCTGAACTCGTGATCCATCGCTACTAAAAATACAAAAATTAGCCAGGCATGGTGGTGTGTGCCTGTAATACCGGCTGCCCTGGAGGTTGAGGCAGGGGAATCGCTTGAACCCGGGAGGTGGAGGTTCCAGTGAGTTGAGATTGCACCACTGCACTCCAGCCTGGGAAACAAAGCAAGACTCTGTCTCAAAAAAAAAAAAAAAAAAAAAAAGATGGTTTACATGATTGCTAGTCTCACGTACCAGCGGTCCTGGAGATGAGGGCAGGTGTGAGCCACCACACCTGGCCAGCACATTGTTTTTAAATGAGTAATATTCATACCCTTCTAAGAGACTGACCACGTTGGATCTTGAGAGCAGCTGTGGTGGTTGTAAATGATTGTTTAGGCCAGGCGTGGTGGCTCACACCTGCAATCCCAGCGCTTTGGGAGCCTGAGGCAGGTGGATCACTTGAGCTAGGAGTTGAGACCAGCCCGGGGAACATGTAGAAACTTCATCTCTACTAAAAATACAAAAATTAGCCAGGCATGGTGGTGTGTGCCTGTAATATCGGCTGCCCTGGAGGTTGAGGCAGGGGAATCGCTTGAACCCGGGAGGTGGAGGTTCCAGTGAGCTGAGATTGCACCACTGCACTCCAGCCTGGGAAACAAAGCAAGACTCTGTCTCAAAAAAAAAAAAAAAAAAAAAGATGGTTTACATGATTGCTAGTCTCACGTACCAGCGGTCCTGGAGATGAGGGCAGGTGACAGGAGCCATAAGAGGATGTGGACAGAGACCTGCTCAGAAAGGCCACCTATTGAATGAAAGCAAAAATGGATTCTTGGCTAGTAATGTGAATATGAAGCACATACCAAGGAGGTAGGGACCAGGACAACTCTCAATATTTTTAAACCTATCATTTATTGCATTCTCACGATGCTTACGGCATGGGACCTCGCGTCCCCCACATGTACAACTTAATAGGTAGGGAATATTTATCTCCCATTTTGCAACTAAGGGATTAAGGCTGAGAAAGGTTAAGTAACTTTCCTAAGAAAGGATCCAAACCCAGTTTGTCTGATTATAAAGTTCAACATGTTTATCATTTGCCTATTGACCATATTATCTGTTTTTGCAGTATGATTATTTGAAATGCAAATTAAATAATTCCTGGTTCCTAAGCAATGACTATAAAACACAAAATCTTGTCTCAAGAGAGGGTAGATGCTTCATTTGTATTATGGAGACCAGGAAAGGGAGGAAATTATGAAAAACATGTAAAGCTAAATAAATACCAGATAAAATTGAAACCTTCACAGAAGTAGCAAGCTTTGTTCCTTATATAATTGATGATACCTTACCAGAATTCTAATTCCAAGGCCTGGTGAGTGAGTGACCCTCCCCTCGTCCCCCATAATTTCTGGGAGTTCTCAGAATTCAGCCCTCAAATTTCTGTGTACTCCTGTAACCACTTGCTACCTCTCTTCTGACCCACTTCAAAACAGGCACAAAGACAACTCTCTTCACCAGGTCCCACACCGCCACAAATTCACTCACCAGAATGCATGCTGTTAGTAGAGAAGCTTTGCTGAAGGTTGGGGGACGGTTCGGTCACAGGAAGGGGTGACATGACGATGCTCAGTGTCTTCTCCCGTATCCCCGTATCCACTGCCCTCTCTTCCTCCTTGTTCCTCCTATCCCAGAAAGAACAAAATCTTCCTCTTGCCTCATGGAGAACAATTTTTTGAAAATCTTTTTTTTTTTTTTAAGAGACAGCGTTTCCCTCTATCGCCCAAGCTGGAGTCCAGTGGCCGATCTTGGCTCACTGCAACCTCCGCCGCCCAGGTTCTAGCAATTCTTCTGCCTCAGCCTCCCGAGTAGCCGGGATTACAGGCGCACGCAGCCACGCCTGGCTAATTTTTTGGATTTTAGTAGAGACGGGGTTTCGCCATGTTGCCCAGGCTGGTCCTGCACTCCTGAGCTCAGGCAATCCACCTGTCTCGGCCTCCCAAAGTGCTAGGAAGACAGGAGTGAGACACCGAGCCTGCTCGAAAATCAGTTTACCCCTAATTTTAGAAAGGTAAACTGGTGCATTCCTGTTTATTAGCACAACACACCCCAATAGTGTCTGAAGCAGCAATCAAACACATCAGTGTTTTTGCAGCAAATGAATATTGACATCAGGTGATGTGAATAAAGCCTTAGCTAGCCTCACTGTAGTTTAAAATTGGCCACCAAATCAGATCAACTCAGCTCAAATGTTGCACTCAACAGATCTTTTTCGAACTTCGACTGTCAGAGTTTTGAAATTTAAGTTGTAAATAAGAGATTGTAGACCTGTATAGGAGAACACCACTGCGCTAGGCTTAATAATCTGGCTCCTGACTAGAGAAAGCTGTCATTTTAATCATTGGCTATACAATACTTGACACCTTTAAAAAGAAAAACTTAAATGCCAGATGGCAGACTTGGCCAAATGGAAGAAGCTAAACAAATACTCCTTTTTTATGTCTGAGTCTGTTCAGGCTGCCATAGTGATATCACAGACTGGGTGGTTTATAAACAATAGAAACTTATTTCCCACAGTTCTGTAAGCTGGGAAGTCCTAAATCGGGGTACCAGCAGGTTCCATTTCAGATGGAGGCCCACTTCCTGATTCATAGACGATTCCTTCTTGCTGTGTCTTCACGTGGTGGATGGGACTAATAAGCTCTTTGGGGGTCTCTATTGTAAGGGTACTAATCCCATTCACCTAATCACCTCCCAAAGGCCCACCTCCTAAGACTATCGCCTTGGGGGGTTAGAATATTAACATAGAATTTATAGATAGGGGGTACACAAACATTCAGTCCACTACAGTATTTCAGGAAGCTTCCACCAGATGAACTTGTCTTTTAAGTAAAAAGAATCCCACCCCCACCAATTAGACTGTCAACAGTAAAACTATATTGGAAGAAAGGACTGGCTTATCAGATAAGAGAGGAACAGCTGTTCCAATTGGCCAGGGAGACCAGGTTGACATTTGAGTTTAAACCCATTCCTGTTACGTGAGGTGGCCTCTATCTGAATGGTCCTTTAAGTTTATATGAAAAGTAAAAGCAAAAAAAGTTTACATTAGAACTTATTTTGCTAGAAGGCAGCTGAGAAAGCAAGGCGTGGGCAGTTAGTTTTTTCCTTGATGTAGCTCTGTAAATCTTTAGCAAAAAGGCAGTTTTCACTCAAAATAAGTCCTCCCAGATTAAACAACAACAACAACACATGCAGACAAGCACCTGATTTTGCTTCTGAAGAAGGCAGATTAAATAATTCAGACCCATATTCCTGAAGGGTAAACTACAGGTAACTAAAAAGACTGGATAAAGTATGTTTAAAATCTTCTTAAAAGCATCCAAGAGTTAATAAGTTAATAAGACGTTACTAGATTTAAGCCCCAAGAAAGGGCAGAAATCAGAAGAAATGAGCCTTGTATTCAGGGTCACTTGAGACATTTTGTTACCCTGGTTAGAGGTCAAAAGTTGGAAATCATGGCTTACCAAAGGTATGGATGTTGCTAAGCCACCTCCTGCTTTGAGGTGGAACGGTAAACGAGCTACATTCTAAGACGGGGTGGATGGGAAGTTGAGCAGCACTCACATTTGGGTGTGGGCTGGATTCACTGACTCGCTCTCAACTGATTTTAGCAAAAGTGCCAAGGCTACACAATGGGGAAAGGAGAGGCTCTTCAATAAATAATGCTGGGAAAACTGGATAGCCACATGTAAAAGAATGAAATCAAACACCCTTATCTTACACCATATGCAAAATGTAAACTCAAAATGAATTAAAGGCTGAAGACCTGAAATTATAAAACTCCTAGAAGAAAACGTAGGGAAAAATCTTCTTGATACTGGTCTTGGCAATTATTTCTTGGATGTGACACCAAAAGCATAGGTCACAAAAGCAAAAAGAGTCAAGTAGGACCACATTAAACTAAAAAGGTTCTACACAGCAAAGGAAACAATCACTGGCATGAAAAGGTAACCTTGGAAAGAGAAAATATTTGCAAACCATATATTTGATAAGGCTTAATATCTAAACTATATAAGAAATTAATATAACTCAGTGAGAAAAAGTAACCCGATTAAAAATAGACAAAGAACCTGAATAAACGTTTCTCCAAAGAAGTCATGCAAATGGCCAAATGGTACATAAAAAAGTGTTCCACACACTAAGCATCAAAGAAATGCAAATCAGAACTACACTGAGATATCATCTCAAACCTGTTAGGACGGCTGTTATCAAAAGCCCAAAGGTAACAAGCTTTGGCAACGTTATAGAGAAACCGGAAGTTTTGTACCCTGTCGTTTGGAATGTACAGCTACTGTGGTAAACAGTAAAGAATTTCCTCAAATTTTAAATTTTGTCCTCAAAAAATTTAAAATGGAAAACCATAGGACCCAGCAATCCCACTTCTGATACATATCTAAAAAATCACCATCTCCAAGATATACCTGCATTTCCACGTTCACTGAAGCATTATTCACAATAGCTAAGATGCGGAAGTAACCCAAATGTCCACTGCCATGTTTGGAGAAAACTAGATGGCATGTAAATACAATGAACTACTATTCAGCCTTATAAAAGAAGGAAATCCTGCTATTTGTGACAACATGGATGAACCTGAAAGAGATGATGTTAAGTGCAAATAAGCCTTTTAGAAGAGGGAAGATATTACATCATTCCATTTACAGAAGGTATCTAAAATAGTCACTCACAGAAGCAGAGAATAAATAGTGGTTTCCAGCAGCTGGGAGAAAGGGGGAGTGGAAGGTTGTTGTACAATGGCTGTACAGTTTCAGTTATACAAGATGAATACATTCCAGAGATCTGCCGTACGACATAATGCTTAGAGTTAACAATGCTGTATTGCGCACTTAGAAGTTTGTTCAGAGGGTAGATCTCATGTTCAGTGTTCTTACCATAATAACAACAACAACAAGCATCCCATCAAAAAAGACCAAAAAGCAAAGAGATACAAGGAAACTTTTAGAGCTGATGACTATGTGTATCGCCTTGATTTATAGTGATGGTTTTGCAGTATGTTCATATGTCCAAACTCATTAGGTTGAATACATTAATATGTGCAGTTTACATGGATGAGCTTGGAGGACATTAGGTTAAATTAACTAAGCCAGGCGCAGAGTGGTAAATCTGCATGTTCTCAGTCACATGTGGAATCTATAAAAGTCGGTATCAGAAGTGGAGAGGCAGGGAAGGGGCATGGGGAGAGGGGCTGACTAAAGGCTGGTTAACACATCCAAAAGTACAGCTAAATGGAAGGCATAAATTCTAGTGCTCTGTAGCACTTTAGGGTGAGGATTAATTGTATATTTTCAAATAGCTAGAAGAGTAGATTTTGAATGTTCCCAATACACAGAAACGATAAATGTGCGAGGTGACGTATTTGCTAATTATCCTGATTTGATCATCGCACATTATATACTTGTATCAAAATGTCACATTGTACCCCATATATATGTACAATTATTACATGTCAATTTAAAAATAATTTAAAAACCAAAAAGATAGTAAAAATATGTAGTTTTGTATATCAATTATACCTCAATAAAGCTGCGTTTAAAAAATCTAAAAACCAAGAATTTAGCAATATGTAAAAAGATTTATACACTTTGACCAGGTAGGCTTTATTCCAGTTATGCAAGCCTGGTTCAACTTTCAAAAATCAACGTAATCCACCATATTAAAAGGCTAAGGAAAGAAAAAAATCTTATTTATATAACTAATGTAAAAGCATTTGATAAAATTCAACACCCACCTATTTGTTTTTTTCTGAGAATTATGACAAAATTCTCAGAAAAAGCAGAAATAGAAGGCAAACTTGGTACCTATAGCTAATCTCTAATTAATCATGAAAGACTGAATGAATGCTTTCTCCCTATCAAAATACCAGTGAGAATTTTTGTATTCGTAGATATAGAGGAAATTAATAAACAGAAAGGCAAAGAAACTAGAAGAGCTAAAACATTTTGAATAGAAAGAATAAAGTGGGCAGAATCAGTCTACCCAATTTCAAGATTTATTATATAGCTCCAATAATCAAGACTGTATGGTATTGGTGGAGAGACAGACACATAGATCAATGAAACATAATAGAAAATCCAAAATAGACTGCCACAAATATGCCCAGCTGATTCTTGACAAAGGTACAAAGGCAATGGTGGACAAATAGCCTTATTAACAAATGGTGCTAGAACAATTGCACCTTCGTAGGCAAAAAAAAAAAAAAAAAAAGCAGAAGAAGGGGAGGAAGAAGAAGAAGAGGGAGGAGGAGGAGGAGGAGGGGGAGAAGCATCAGCTCAACCTAGACCTCACATCTGATACAAAAATTAACTTATAATGGATTACCAACTTAAATGTGAAACAGAAAAAAAAAAAAAAATAGAAAACCTTTGGGATTTAGGGCTAGGCAGAAAGTTCTTAGTCTTGATACCAACAGCATGCTCCATAACAGAAAAAATAGAAAAATTAGACCTCAGAATTTAAAAATGTCTCTACAAAGTACATGTAAAGAGGATGACTGGGGGAAAATATTTGCAAGCCACAGATCTGAAAAAGGACCAGGATCTAGACCAAGCTCGTCCAACTCATGGCCCATTGGCCACATGCCTCCCAGGATGGCTTTGAATTTGGCCCAACTTTCTTAAAACCTCACGAGAATTGTTTTGTGATTTTCATCAGCTGTTGTTAGTCTTCGTGTATTTTATATGTGGCCCAAGACAATTCTTCTTCCAATGTGGCCCAGAGAAGCCAAAAGACTGGACACCCCTTATCTAGACTATAGGGAGAACTCTGAAAACTCAACAGCCAAAAAAAAAAAAAAAAAAAAAAAAAAAAAAAAAAAAAACCAAAAAAAAAAAAAAAACCAGAAACAATCGAATTAGCAAATGGCCAAAAGACATAAACAGACATTTTACCAAAGATAGCATATAGATTAAAATACAGATGGAAATAAAGATGGCAAGTAAGCACAAGCGTTTGAAAAGACATCCCACATCAGAGGAACGGAATTTAAAACCACAATGACAAATCACTATACATGTATAAGAATGGGTAAAAGTTTTAAAATATTGACAACACCAAACTCTGCCAAGGATGTGGAGAAGCTGGATGATTCATATCTTCCTCCTTGGGATGTAAAATGGTATAACAATTCTGGAAAATAGGCTGGCAGTCTCTAAAAACTAAGCATGTGACTACCATATGATCTAGCAATAGTTCTCCTGGGCATTTATCCCAGAGATCTGAAAATGTATGTTCACTTGAAAACCTGTATAAAATGTTTATGACAACTTTATTTGGTTTTTGTTGTTGTTGAGACAAGGTCTTGCTCTGTTTTCCCAAGCTGAAGTACAGTGGCTCAAACATAGCTTACTACAACCTCCAACTCCTGGGCTCAAGGGATCCTCCCCCTTTAGCCTCCTGTATAGCTGGGATTACAGGTGTGAGCCACCATGCCCAGCTGCTAATTTTTAATTTTTTTAATGTATAGACAGGGTCTCACTATATTGCCTAGCCGGTCTGGAACTCTTGGGCTCAACTGATCCTCCCACCTCAGCCAACTTAATTTGTAACATCCCTAAAACTGTCATATCCCGTCAAACCCTAAATGTCCTTCATTAGGTGAATGGTTAAATAAGCTGGGGGTGCATGCATTCCATGAAATACTACTCAGGAAGAAAAAGGAACAAAATATTGATACAACAACCTGCAACTCAGGTTGCCGAGTGGGAAAAAAAAATGCAAAAGGCTGCATATGGATTCAAAGGGTTACATATGATTTTTTAAATATAACAATTTGAAATCACATTTTGGGAATGGGAAACAGATAAGTGGTTTCAAGAGGTTAGAGATGGGAAGGGGTGCCCAGGGGAAGTAGGTGTGGCTGCGAAAGCACAATATGAGGGAGCTTGTGGTGATGGAAATGTTCTGTATCTTGACTGTGTCAATGGCAATATCCTAATGATGATACTTTACTATAGTTTTTGCAAGATATTACCAATGAGGGACATTGGGTAAAGAGTACTTGGAATCTCTCTGTATTATTTCTTATAATTGCCTGCAAATCTACAATTATCTCAAAATGAAGTCTGATTTTAAAAATGACTCGATCAAAAGATACCATTAAATGAATAGAAGATACTTGTAGTCTCTAACTGACAAAAGCATGAATTTATAAACAGCTTTTATGAATCAATAAGAAAAAGTCAGCTAAAAAATGGGCAAACATTTGAACAGGCATTCAGAAAACAGAAAATTTAAATAGCCTATAAACACGTGTAGAAGTGTCCAATTTCACTGTTAATTAGGGATATGAAATGACGATCACAATGAGACACCATTACATCTCCACCAGACTGACAAAAAATAAAAAGTCTATTATATTTTGGCAAGGATGCAGAGCAATGAGAACTACCACACATCTCTGATGGTAGTGTAAATTTTGTGACTCACTTTGGAAAACAATTTATCATGATCTAATAAAACTAAATATATGCATACCATATAGTCTAGCAATTCCACTCCAAGGTATACATCCTAAAGATTGTACTTACATACCAGGAGATACATACAAAAATCTTAGCAATATCATTTGTAATAGCCCCAAATGAGAAAAAAATCCAAATGCCTAAAGTGCCAGAAGGGACAAAGAAATTGTGATATGTTCATACAAGGGAATATTAAGTAGCAATGAAAATGAATGAACTACAGCTACATGTCACAAAGTAGATAACCCTTACAACCAGATGGAAGGAGAGGCCAGATGCACACACGAGTATGCATGCAATATTATTCAATTTATAGAAAGTTCAAAACCAAACGAAACTCAGCGGTAGTGGTTAGAGATTCCTACATTACAAATTGGTAGGAACTTCCTTATATACATTTGAATATGTATTTGAAGCTTCCTTATATACATTGGTAGAAAGATATATAAGGAAGTAATTACCATAAAGTCAGGATAGTTGCTTTAGGGGGAAGGGAAGGACTTGTGGAAGGGAATTGGTGGAGCAGGGGAACCTCTGAGGTGACAGCAATGGCGTGGGTGGTGTTCGGTTTTTGATTCATTAGGCTATGAAGGTATGTTGTCTTCACTTTTCTGTGTGTGATCGTTTATAACAAAACCACACACCCTCTTCATATGTCATTGTTTCGCCTTTGAGAGGACAAAGGAATATAGACATGAGCCTTAAGTGTGCTGAGAAAAGATGGCACCTGAAAACCTGAGCTCAAAATTCAAAACCTGTGAGGAGAGTTAGGGTAAAAAGTGGAGTGCTGCAAGACACAGACTTGCCGGAATGATGAGGTGGTGGCTTGCCTTGGAATTTTTTTTTTTTTTTAATAGTACGTTAGGAATAATAAGGTTGCTCCAGGTGCTAAATTTCTTACTCCCCTTCTTCAGAAGTTGGACCTAGGCCGAGGGTCCACGGTTTTTAAATGTTTTGGAGTTTTTTTTTATTTTGTTTTTCAAGTTGATTCCCTGATCACCTTTGCCTTGAATCCCCCTAGCTACCCTGCATAAGAAGAGAACTTTTGACGCAGTGGGAACGCTCCCTTCCGGAGCGTTAACCGGGGTGACCTCACCCCTCTCTCCTCGCTGTCTTCAGTCCAATCAAGATCAGAAAGCAGGATCAAGAGAAAGATGATCAGACCGGAACAGGTAAACGTTCCATATAGACACGCTTCGGAAGTGCGGAGAAGTAACAGCTTATCCCCCCTCGGGCTGTCATGTCCTCTCCGCTGCCCCTCTGAATTGCTGATGTCAGAACTTACTGGGTGGGGTACAGCACAGAAGCAACTCGTAGAATTTCACGACATTAAAAGGAGGTGATTTCAATCAAGAAATCTAGCGCATAATTAAGGTTTCTCCTCGTGTCGAGACATTGCTTCTCCCGTCCTGCCTCTTCCTGCCAGACCTCACCGCCACAGCTCCAATGACACCCTGACTGCGATCCCGCCCCACCACAAGGCTGGGGTACCCTTCAGCGGCGGGGACATCCAGGTGTCCCTGGATTTCCAGGGCACAGTGCGGGCCGGAAATAGGAACGCAGAGGAGCCCTTAGGGAGGCTCTCGAGGCAGTGCCTTTCCAGTGGACAGCGACACACCCTGGCCCCTAAGATTCTCTTGCTCTCCGAATTTTCCGTGCTGGGCCCGATCTGTGGCGCTCAAAGTCCTCTGTACTGAGGCGTTCCCAGGGCGCCCAACTCCCAAGTGTCCATTTCTTAGGCAAAAAGGCGGCGGGGCTGAGGAGGGGAAGGCGCCCGTTGCGCTGTCTCACTGAGTCTCTTCACTCGGCCCGCGTGCATCAGCCTCTCCGGCGGGGGATTCTCCCCGGACTCCGGCCAGCGCCAATCAGGTCGCGCGGTACCTGCCCCCAGCCCCGGCCACCTGGAGGGGCGATGAGGCTCCACTCCTGGAGCTGGGCAGTCCTCGGAGCACCGGGGAGGCCGCGGAGCCTCACGTGTGCCGCCCCACACTGGCGCCGGGAAGGACGCGCGCCGACCCCGTGGGAGCCGAACGCGGGAGTCGCTGCCCAAGCGGAGCTGCTCAGCGCGGTAACGGGTCGGAGCCTCCAACGCGCAGAGGAGCGAGCGGAGGGGCGGGGCGCGGGCGGGCGGAGGAGCCGCGGGGCACGGGCTCCGCGCGGGGATTGTGTCCGGCCACCGCGTACTTTCGAGGGCGCCTCTACATTCGGGTAAGCGCGTCCCGCTGCCTCCCTCTGCCCACCCCGCCGCCTCGAGAGTAGCAGTTCCCGACTGGGTCTGGGTCGGCTCCCGGCTCTCCCTCTCCGCGCCACCGGCCTCTAGCTCCGAGGGCCGCGGCGGCTCGGGGGTATCCCTGGTTTCGTGGCCAGGCCGCAGGTTGGGGCTGGACTCTCCGGGTCCCTGCCCCGGGGCGGTGCCGAAGGCGCTCTACTCAGCGTGTCTGCACCCACCGGCTTCTCGGCACCTTCGGCCGGGCCGGACCTCATGCGGACGCCGCTGCTGCTGCTGCTGCTGCACCTCGAGCCCGCCGCCACCCGGAGCATGAGGCGCGGGACGCCGGGGCGCGGGGGCCGGGACAGAGGACCCGGGAGGGTTGGGGCCCGGCCGGCGGGGGCTGCCGGGCCAATCCGCCGCCGCCGTCGATTTGTGCGTCCGGGTTCGTGTCGGGGACTCTGGGCAGCCTTGCTCCTGGGGCTCTGTTTGCTGGTGATTTTTCCTAAGTTTTACAAAATAAAGAGGGCGATGTGCCTTCGCGGCGCGGGGTCGGCATCCAGGCGGCAAGGGCCTGTGGGAACCGGCGTCTCGGCCAGCAAGTCTGGGGCCGGGATAGCTGGGGTGGCCGGGAGAAGCCAGACTTGCCGGTGGGGCCGTGGTCCGCTTGCTCCCAAGGCCACAGAGCTGGCGGCCGCACCAGGATTCCGGAGGGTCCTGCATGCTCGAGGCGCCGGCCACACCGAAGCCCCCGCTCCGCGGCCGGGAGGAGGGCCTAGCCAAGCAGAGAGCAGAGCGGCGAGCAGAAGGCAGCATCCGGACGAGGCCCGCATTCTGCTGCGGGGGCCCTGCTGCCTGGCCTGGCCGGGGTGGGGCGGGTGGAGGCCGAGCGCGGCACGCCGGGGTCCTGGGTGGGTGGCGTCCTGGTTCTCTGCGGCTCCGAGGGCCGTGAGGGGCGGCGGGGGTGCAGATCTGTTCCATCGGTCAGCGCCCTTTGGGTGACACATGCCAGCCGAGTTTGCCTGTCACACTGGTGTGGCGGTTCCTTTTCTTTGGGTGGAATTGTGGGCCCCTGGAAGTTTGCTCGTCCTGGCAAGTTTGACCTGACGGGGAGGCAGCATCCAACCTGCAGGCAGAGGCCTGCAGGCACTTCCTCCTGTCCTTTCCCCAGCCTGGACCCTCCCCTAGGCCGCCCAGGGGGCCCGATCCTGAAATTCTATGGGGGCCGCAGCGTGGCCAGCAGGGCTGACGTCTGCACAGTTGCGTCTGTGCCCCGCTTGGTCCTCCAGCCGCCGAGCCAGACACATGTTTGATGCCGTGTGGGAGACAAACAATGACCGCGGACTTCAGTCCGGCAAGTTCGCTTTGCCTAAGGTTGCCTAGGGTCTGGAGTGTCCCGAGGGGAAAGGCAGCTTTCCTTCTGCCCTAATGAGATACTTGGATGGAACAGACATTCAGACCTTGAAAGAGGCGGACCCAGGGGAAGGAAGAGTAAAGGTATATGTTCTGAAAAACGGAATTTCTCAGCCAGTTCTCTAGGGAGGTTCCAGCTGCCATGCCTGAGAGGATCGAAACCAGCAGGTACAGGGGCATGTTGGCGTCCAGAGGGGAAGTAATGTGTGGCTCTCGGAGGGTTCTGCGGGGGCATCAGGCAGATCAGCAGCGGCCCCTCCTCACAGGTTCCTGCTCTCGGGAGGAGCACAGTTGTTATTTCCACCATCCTGGGGGTGCAGGAGATAGGGCTGTACCTGTGTGGGAAAAGCCTGTGAAGTCCTTTTGAGTGGCAGGTGGGAGGGCCACAGGCCTGGATAGAAACCTGAGTTGTGGGCAGGACTAGCATTCCTGCCAGGGCTAGTGATCTATATTCAGTGACCTCATCATGCATACTGTTCTGGAAAGGCAAGGCGAGATGGACTCATGCGGGTGAGAGCAGGTCCCGTTTGGCCCAAGGATCTCTGTTTTTTCTCTAGCTTGCCGGTTGTAATTGGATGAGCCCGGCTTAGTTCAGGGAATGCCTCAGTCTGAGTACAAACATCAGCTGGTAGCAGGGGACCCTGGCTGGAGCACAGTCCAGCCCTCACCCAGAGGCCTATGCCGGGGTTTTCCTGATCTCCTGCAAACTTTAGAAGGCTAAGGTGGATGAGAGGAGGAGCTGGGAATCTTCTGGGAGTCATTTGGCTCTGGTAGGGCCATTCCAGAGTCTGTCCATTATGAAAGCTCCCCAGGGTTTAGAATCTGGCCTAGTGATTATTAACATTAATGAAAGTTGCTCCCACTTATTAAATACCTGCTATGTGCCAGACATAAGGTTTTGTAAAATTACTATTATTATCCCCATTTTTCATGTGAGGAAACTGGGTTTGGGGGCAGGGTAAATGATTTGCCACGATTAGAAAGCTACTCAGTGGCGGAGCCGTGCATGAAACCCAGGGCTCTCTGTTCCAAAGTCACTTGCCCTTTCCCAGGGCCACTCTCTTTCCATTAAGAACAGACACACATGTGGTAGGTGGAAATGCAGAATCGCCATGAATAAAGACTCTTGCTTATAGATCCAAGAGATATGTACAGCCCCATCAGACTCTAAACTTCGGAAAGCGCTGGCCTGGTAAACGAGATGTTCTTCCTTCCCTCCAGGACTCAAAGGTTTAAGTCCTACACAGAGGACTAATTTCTTTAATATGTAAAGTACAAATCTTTCAACTGGCAAACATCAAAGACATGGATAAACTGTTGATGTGGTTGTAGAAAAACAGGGACTTCCATATATTGCCGGTGGGAAAGTAAATTGGTACAACTTCCTTGGAGGGCATTTTTAGAAACACTTGTCAAAATCGTAAATGTCCATGCTGTCCGACCCAGTGATTCCGTTTCTAGGAATTGAACTTGCTGCTATCCTTGCATATGGGCACAAAGATATATGTCCATTAGAGCACCATTTGAGCTGTGAAAGAACAACTTACATGCTTACCCAAGGGGTACTTGTTAAACGTCTCATGGTACTTCCAGATAGTCAAATAGTATCCTATTCATTCGTAGAAAGAGAATGAGTAAGTTTGCTATGTAACTGATAGGGAATGATTTCCAAGACGTATGGCTAAGTGGAAAAAAACAACATACTAGAGTGTTTATAATATGCTGCTGCTCGTGTTATACAAGAGGAAGGAGAATGGTAGGATGTTTGCTTGTCTGTGTATAACTATAGACATAAAACCTAATACTACCTGTTGCCTCCAGGAAAAGTGGCCTATAAACCCTTTTGTACTTTTGAATTCTAAACCATGGGAATATGTTAACTATTTTAAAATCCTCTTTATCCACCCTATGCCTGATATGTTCCCTCAAACACTTCTCCAGCCTAACAGTGTGGGGTGACACACCCCACCCCCTTCAGGTTGCTTGAGAGGTTCCGTTTGGATTAAAAGCCAAAGGTCTGTGAAAGTGCACAGTGCCCATAATATCTGGGCCATGCAGAAATCTTTTGAAATATGCAGAGTTGTACTTGGAAAGCTGGGGAGAGGTGTCTTTGGACAGCAGGCTCTCTGAGCCGGGTAGGCAAGTTATGATCATCCAGACCTGAAAACAATATGCAGAAATAGAAACCACCCCTCTCTCTATTGCCCTAATGTTCCCTTGTACAAGATAAAGTGTCAGCAACTGGATAGCATTGGGCAAAGGAGCAAGAGGAACACTGTGACTGGACATTAGAGAGGGCAGAAGATATGTAGGAGGTCTATTTCTGGTGTTGCATTTGGACCTCAAAAAGGAGAAGAGAGAGATGCTTGGAAAAAAAAAAAAAAAAAAAAAAGGCTTGAAATTATCCTAGGGTCTAGAGCTGTTTTGCCCCAGAGAAAGAAGGAAGAATATTGGCACAGTTGTCACTGCATCAATCAGAGTGTCCTACATGCCCCTTTGAGCAATTTCTATCAGCACAGATGCCTGGCTCAGTTTCCCCTACTTTCAAGAACTCCCTTCTGCTGATCCCTTCCCAGGCTCCCTTCCCAGCCTGGAAGCCGATGGTTACACAAAGGGGATGGTGGCGGTATTGGATGCTGCTTTTCTTTTGGGGGTGGGTGATGGGACAGGCTGTTGAAAAACAGAAGCAATGGAAGAAGGGCTTGCTTCCAGCCACAAAGATGGGTCCTCCAGCAGCGTTAGGTGGAAAGCCTTCACCGAGAGCTTTCCATGTTTCAGGCACTCTGCTAAGCCCACACTGTGTCATTGCATGTCTTTATCTCAGGTATGTGTGAGCACCCAGGCTCTTTTCTATCAAGCAGCATGTCTTTCTGCTCCCCCTTCACTGACTTTTCCATTCTCTATGCAGTAAGCTGCAACACAGGCACAACTGCGTCACGTGGGTGCTTACAGACCCGCGTTTGGGTTTTAATAGCATGCGACTGAGCATTACATGCTTTGATGGATGAGTTGAAATTTCTGCAGTATGGATAGATTTGTGCAGGGCACAGTTCCGAAACAAAGCAGTCAGCGTCTGGGTCTGGATTTCCATTTCTCTTATTTCCACTTCTGTGTATGCATTAGGGCTGGGCTGAGTAGACTGTGCATGTGATGTTCCCCAGGGAAAGGTGGAGGAGGAGGAGGAGGGCGTGTCATTGCTTTGGTGCAGACACCAGTGGTGTGGAAGGCTGTGAAGATGAGCTTGTGAAGCCCTGTGTCTGCACGCAAGGAGAAAGGTCAGCGGAGTGGCCCCTAAGCCCAAAGTCTGTGCTGGGAGTCTGTCTGTTGTTTGGAAAAAAAACAGCCTGAGAGCTGAGAGCCTCATTCATTGCAAACCTCCTCCTTCTCATTAGCCAGGGTTCACCTCTGACTCTGTTTCCACTTCAAAAAGAAGCAGCTCTAATTTTCCCCAAATAAATTCTGGAGCACACAAGGCAGCTGCTTTTTCTTGTGCTGCTGTTGCCCGCAGTGGTGGGAGCAAGGAGCTGGGCTGGGTTCTCAGTTAGGGCTGCCAGAAGCCAGCAAGGAGAGGTCAAGTCAGAGAGCC